TCGCTGAAACGGCTGGACCGATTTTGACGGGACTTACACTGGCAGATAGCTGAGGTAATAAGGAGTAACTTAGGATACTTTTAGTTTAGAAATTTTATTTATTGTTATTAATGTATATATAATATAATTCCACGCGGACGAAGTCGCGGCCTCAACTAGTATGGAATATAAGGGTATAAATATTAATGTATTTCTATTTAACTATACTGTCTCTGGCAGGCTTGTTGTATATGGGGTATCCCCACTTTCCACGGTTTCTGGGCAAGAGACTCAGCACAACTCAGAAATGCTATCTTTTGTAGGTATATCATCTTTTAAATGCTGCCAAAAACAAGTAAGACCGCGTTTCCTGTTCATGATTGATTTTTGATTGCGTATTTGATGAGCGTAATTTCCATAATAATATTGAAAACAATAATGTGCTCGTAAATTGATAATTTTATTCTGACTGATTGCATCATTTACGATTTGTCATAATATTATTCAAATGACCGCGCGATTGTTTCGTTTTTAAACTTGCGCAATACACAGCGCGAGTAAAGGCCCATTTACATGGTGCCAGTTTCTTGCCTGTTGTATACAATTAAATTGAAGCAATAAATGAGTTGCATGGTCTAAACAACAAATGGTCTAAACAATTATTGCGCGAAATTTATTGCATTCAATTATTGCTCTTGTATGTACAAGAAAATGGCATCGTGTAAATGGGCCTTAAGCGATGCCATACGTCGAAGACCGACTGCAACCAGCACGATAAAGCAAAAATATCGAAAATGATTCGGTACGCGATATTTTTGCTGTGGGATGCGCTGCGGTTTCGAACGCTAAGGCTGTTTGCACATGGAGCGTTTTTAAGCCGTGATGAAACAAGAAGACCACAAACTATCGTCAGGTCGAATATTATGTGTGGCAGGTCCGTCCGGGGAGATACCACGAGAAGACCGGCGTGAAGTGGAATTGTAATACTTCTGCAACCGAGGCCCACTTAATTAAAAGGTGGTAACTCAACTGCGATCCTAAGGGTGTTGCAAATTTCAATGGGCTTCACTTAACATCAGCGAACTGCCAGCTCGTTAGCCACCTTCTAACAAAAAAGAAAATTCAGTTCACATAAAAACGGGGTAGATAAAATTGAGACAGTTGGTTTCAGCCAGATGCATGGAAAACAAACATGGGATTGTGCATTCTGCAGGTGACAAAGCTCTGGAACTAGTCATAGTTATTAGTAATTGGGTCCACCAATTCCAGTTTTGGCTCTGGTAGGACCACGCAGCAGCTTCGGCTGTTGCACGAATGGGCAAGCTCGCCCGGGCCAGCGCTTCGCCCCCACTAAAGAGTTGCGTGAACTTTTTAATATTGGCAACTCATCTGCAACCAGTCAGTTTGTATTGTTTTATTTGTATTGAAGATAACAGAGGCGGTGATAAAGACTTAACAGCAGGTGTAACGCAAAAAAAAAACCCAACTCCCCGGTCACATTACCAACTTATTATAATAATGTTATTATGGTTATCTTAGGGCAAGCGATAATGTAGGAGCAGACATTAAATTCAGCTCGTGAGATACTAGCTCGGGTAACAACATTCAATCAGGTTTTGATGACACCCGCGCCGTTGCAAAGAATCGATTAATTTGCTTTATGACTTCCTGGTTCAATAAAGCTGAAGGACAACGCGTGTGAGTTTTGTTGACAATTTTATTTAATGAAATATATAGTTTTAAAGCACAAATTATTTTCCCTATTGCCTCAAAACTTTTTTTCAACCGTTGTACAGCCAGCCTTATTTGTCTGGGCACAGATGTTGCGTGATTCAACCGCATTAGGGCTTGCTTTGGCGGCAGTATGTGTTATTATATCTGGCCTTGGTGAGTGGGAATGGAAGGCGATATTTATTTTTATAGCTCGAGTATCGGTGCAGTGACATCGCTCCTAACTTCTGTATGTGATGATGTTATATATGTCTTTTATTGAATTTTTCTGTCGTAAGGCTAAGGAAAGCCTCCGCTGTGGTAAGAATGGGCTCGTTAGGAGTAGGTTGCGGTATCACAAACCTTACTACCTTACTACTGGACTAGCTTACGGTACGGGGGAAGCTACCTTTCGCCATTTCACAGCACATTGCCTTGCCACTTTATAAAAACAAAATATTGGTATTGTATTATTTAAATTTGTTAATATTATTATAATTACTGTTTTTAATATATTTGTTTCAACAATTTACTTTGTTTTTTTTTTGTTACTATCAAGTTAAAAGTTTTGTGTTATTATGGACGTATTCCATGGACTTAGTCAGCGAGATGAGTAGTATTAAAAAGATAATATTGAATATATATTGAAAGTTTTGTATTCTTGCCTTATTGTTTTGGGATAAATTCTTATCTGGCACTAGCCGCGAGATTGATTCGTCAATTAGTTAGTTTTAAAGGATATTAATTTTTATAATTCTATTTTCGGCCCATAAGATAAATTTAAAAAATTTTTAGGATAAATTTACGTCCGTTTTCGTCCACTTTTCTGCAAATATTTAAATTGTATATTGAGTGCAGAGAATAGCACTATAATAATCTCTAGTATTTAAATGTTTCGTTGTAAAAAAAAAATGCTCGTTTGCTGTAAAGGACTAACACTAGATGACGCCAAAAATTGCGTAAAAATTTAATTAAAAATAAAGTAGATAAAAATACGTTAAGGCGGATTCTGGTATGATTTGAAATTACGTAAACAACGATGCCGCTCCGAGTAAACATTTCTAGTTTCAAACGAAACGATTCATTTGGGTTAACTGTATGCGCATTTTAAACGGTACGCCTAATCTCTGTCGTTCAGTTTAAATATCAACCGGTCTAACGGTTAACTGACGATTTCTTAAATACGAAAGCGAATTGGCTGTTGCAAGATGATGCTTTTTTGGGAGTAAACCCCACTTTCACCGGACAAGAGTGAAGAGAGTTAACTAATATTATTATTTCAGTTCGTTTTAGTCCACTGCTGGACATAGTTCTCGTCCACTAACTATGGAGTTCACTATGGCCCTTATTTGCTTTAGTCTTGTAGTGTTGTTATGACATTTATTTTAGTGAAGTAGGTAACTTTATTGTGACTAGTTTAATCATGCGGTTATGAGAGTTCCTTTTAATGCAATTAGCAGACCCATACCGTTCATAATAACATAGATATAAACGACCCGCCCACAATTACAAGTTGGTTTCATTGTTTGTAAAGGTGGCAACAGACTTGTCATAAACAACACAGTGTTTTTTTAAATGCGATGCATCTAGTTAGATGGACAATTATTGTTTTGCCGTCATTTTAATCGTCAATTTTTTAAAGGATAATAATTTTTATATATACCCTGTATTGAAGATGAAATTTACAAAAACTTTTTATAAAATGCAGGACATCTTCGTGATTCTTATGAACTCCAAATTGTTCGACGGATGAATATTGTTCTGTTGTTATAAAAGACAAATCATTCTGGCCTATTTGGAAATGCTACTGAGTAGTAAAGTCAGTAAATTAATAATTCATTATAATAAAAAGTATTACCAAGTTAAATTGTAAATCCTACGTAAAATCGAAAAGAAGGCAAAATTTGGCCTTCCCACCCAACAAGCTGAAATCCGAACAAAAACTACTTGAAATCGTTAAGTAAATTCTTAAAACAATTTACCGTTGCTGTAGTGTGTTCGCGCCTTAACGCAATTTTCTGGACAGTGACGGCTAAATGTATTCAAATGCCTTTTACGTTCGGCCGTTTCAATTATATTGCTGCCTGTAGATGGGTGCGGGAGGTGGCCTTGCTTGGGCTACACCGTTGCGGTTCGTCGTCGTCTTACAGAATCGGCATAGGTCGGAGGAAAGTCCCAAGACAACAAATATCACGGTGGTAGGGCCCCGCAGCAGCCTCGGCTGTTGCACGAATGGGCAGGCTCGTCCGGTTAAGCACCACGACCTCACAGAAGACAGGCGTAAAGTGGAAGTATAATATTTTCGCGTTTCGTCTGGTGAGTGAGGTGGACGGAGTCCAATTTTCAGAAGGTTGTCAACGCATCTGTAACCCTCGGGTGTGGCAGATGTCCATGGGCGGCGGTATTCACTTAACATCAGGCGAACCGTCTGCTCGCTTAGCAACTTTGCACATAAAAAAAAAACAACGACGACCCGATTGGCGTGGGGAGTAGTGAACCTGCATCTTGCGCCAGAGAGTGTGGGTTCGATCCCCACTACTGTAAAAATATTTTGTGATGAACATAGTGTTTTTCCAGTGTTTGGCTGTTTATATATGTATCTATTTACAAAAGATATGTATATTTATCAGTTTTCTAGTGCTAGCATTGCTTAGTTTGGGGCTAGAGAACGTTGTGTAAAATTGTATCCGAAAACATTAAAAAAAAATATTAAAATCAAGAGTCAGTCGTCGTATACCGCGCAGAATAATCAGACAGAGATTTCTGCACTGAAATCCCAAAAACTGAATGTTTTCACTTTGTTTTTAATTATTTTTATTAATTACGACCTTACCGTACAATAAATTTTCTTTTATGATTCAGGCATAGGTTCAAAGTGAAATTGCGTTCGTAGATTTCTCGAAACTGCTCTGTGAAACATTTATCTATAGGATGACTCTTTGTCAGTGACGTGTTTTAGTGTAAAATTCTATGTATTACATACACTGGACTTTATTACTCGTATAGTGAACTTGATTAGTGTTTCATATAGTACAGATTTATTCATTAAAATAATTAAAACTTTCATGACAATTATTAATTAAACAATTAATACTGACGTGAAACCGGTGTTTGTACCGACTAGCTTTGATCCGGAGGTCCATCGTCAGGCTGAGTGGAATGAGGTCGCGATCGTGGTACTGGTGAAGGAATTCTAGGTCCGAAACTAGTGCACACACCGATTGGTGGTGGATCGAGCCGTTTTGAATTTTCAGATTTATTAGTCCCCAAGTTTCCGTATCTGCCTATTTAATCTGAGTCCGTTGTCTCAGGTGGCGTTGTGGTGTTTCGTGGTGTACCTGGCGTGCCACGTGCCCTCCATCGAGATGCGCGTGGACGACCTGGAGCAGCCAGCTATGAAGTACAAAGAGGTACTCGCCGCTAACTAAAACCAACTCTCCACCGAGCCCGTTAGCGTTCACAAGATAATACTTTTTTAAAAGGTCTAGCTAAAATATTATTATTAAACGATAAAAGGTTACATCTGCAACCGCACGGGCGTTGCAAATGTCCATGGGCGGCGGGTATTACTTAACTCCTATGGAAATCTAATTATAATCGTTTTATGGACACTAGTGGATTGATCCGATTATTTAATATTAATAATAAAAAGAGCCGTGATAGCTCAGTTTCCGGGCGCTCGCCTTTAATTCAATATACTCGAGCAACCTGAGTTCGATCCCCGGTGCCGGCACCAATGAAGTTTTTAACTTTAAGTGCTGACTTATCACGTGGTCCGCGGTGAAGGAAAACATCGTGAAGAAACCTGCTTATTTTCGAAATAATAACAAAAAGGTATATATTTCGAAAATATGTGAAGTCCGCCAATCCGCAGTGGGGCCGCGTGGTGGACTATGCCCTGATACCCTCTGTATAGAGGAGGCCTTTGCCCAGCAGTGGGACATGTATTGGCTGTTACTTAACTTTACTTTTAATAATAATAATTCTTTAATAATTTGCATAGATTAAATATAAAATAATGCCAATGAATCTGGACGATAATACTCGTGAGTGTCACCATCGCAAGCGGACACTTGAAGCACGTTGCAGATAAGCGTTTCTAGCTTCAGACTTTCCCCGTACGGTCTTCCGGAACACGATAGAAGATCCATCTTTGTTGAAATTGTTCATTCTTTTATTCGTCTAATGAACTGATGTAACTGATCGCTCCACAGCCGCCGGCGCCGACACAGCGTCCAGAGCCCCCGAGGCAGGAGTTGCGCCGCGGCAAGTGCTTCCACATGCCCCGCTCGCGCTGCCCCCCAGAGGGCGCCAGGTGCACCAGGGTCGACCCCGTCTCCGTGCTCTGCTGCGACGTGGACAGCTTCCGCCTGAAGGAGGGGCTCGCCATTGTTAGTGAGTGGCTCCCGTTGGCTTAGTCCGGCCCTCGAGACAGTCTAGGGTAGTGCAGGGTTCGTAGGTATTAGATTACGGTGTCATCACGCCGAGACCGCGTTGTATACAAAGCGAAACTTCCGATAAAATCCGTAGAAGTTTAATGTTTCCTAAATTACTTGGTTATAAAACTTTAACCGAAAACTCTAACCAAGAATTCTATATTTATTTATTTATTTATTAGGTCTGCCAGTAGTTGTTACATTAAAAACAATATTATGTGAAACAAGAATTAATGTTACAGCTTAATGTACATCTGATTATGGGGCAAACACAGCATGCTTAAAATTAAAAACAAAAAAGTAAATAGAAAAGTATGGACTTTAGGGCTGATAAAAAAAAACAAATTTCAATATTTCAAAGACAAAAAAAAAGAGTTTAAAATCTATCAAAGACAAATCATGTGGTCCCATGATATAGTTTGGAATAAGAAATACTAGGTTAAATGTCATCAGCAATCAAAATACAAATAACTTAAATCTTAGCATTACAATAAATTGAGATTTCTTATTTTAAGTTATTCATTTATTTCACTTTGACTTTGACTCTTGACTATATGTATGTAAATATTATATCTAAATTTTATTTCCCTGACGCCTGGGTACTTCTCTATCTTTTGAAATAATGACATTGACATTTGACATTTAGTATCCATACTAATATTATAAATGCGAAAGTAACTCTTTTTCTTTTTTTTTTTCTTTTTTTTTTATAAACATTGCCTTCACTTTAGGATAACATTATCCTGTGTTGTAAGGAAGTTTTACAAACATAAATTACACGAGGACAAACACCCAGATGCGAAACAACTATCTGTGGGTCGCACAAATATTTGTCCCGTGTGGGAATCGAACCCACGACCCCCGACGCCGAAGCCAATAACTTGGCAAATGCGCCACGGAGTCATCAAAAAACTCTGTCTGTCTGTCTCGCTTTCACACCAAAACTACTGAGCCGATTAAAATGAAATTTGGTACACAGATAGTCTAGAGCCTGGGAAAGGACATAGGCTATTTTTTATTGGATTTTTTGAAAATAATGATTTATTTAAGGGCTTCAACGCGAGCGATGCCGCGGGTGAAAAGCTAGAATAATATATGGGGTACACTGGCCACGTCGATATTTCTTAAGGAGCAGATAACTTGTACTCAAGACGTGATCTGAACGTTGCCAAAGGAAATATCGTATGCTTGCAACAGAAATTCGCAATCCGACCTCAGATGTTGGATCGAGGTCCCTGTAATTATTTGAATGCGTGTTTTTCAAAAAAAAAATGCCCTTTCTGCGGCGTATTCTGTTGTAAGGTCGCCTTACTTATGTTTGTTTACGTACTTAAATCTAAAAGCATTTGTGGTTCCCAAAAGAAATCGCCGTTGCATCCGTACCCCCTAACGACAAAGCTATATTGTGGATCCGTTTCCTGAATCCAATGAATTAACTCTTAACATAAATGTTATAATAAGATATTGTGTATACAATGGACACAATATCTCTAATATTGTGTATGCAAGGGTATGGTTGAAAGAGATTTAGGAATTTTTAGGGTTCCGTACCCAAAGGGTAAAACGGGTCCCTATTGATAAGACTCCGCTGTCTGTCCGTCTGTCACCAGGCTGTATCTCACGAGCCGCGATAGTTGCACAGTTGTTTGTGAACTTTCACGGATAATGTGTTTCGGTTGCAGCTATAACAACAAATACTAAAAAAAATATTTAAGTGGGGCTCTCAAACGACAAACATGATTTTTTTGCCGTTTTTGATACGTTTAGGTAACAGTACGGAACCCTTCGTACGTGAGTCCGACTCGCACTTGGCCGGTTTTTTTCGTATAATATCTGTTTAAGCTCACTTATGAACAGTCTCACGGTTTGATTAATTTCGAATTAAATTGCACGATATCGATTAGTTGTAGAGTACCTACTTTTTTTATCTCTCTTACTCGAGGGCATTTAGATATGTTGACAACTTTAAAAAAAAAATCTCTATTGAAAATTTGATTTTTATGTATTTCTTTAAAAGTATTGAAATGTTTCTCGTAAATTTCAATGACCTGAGGATGTACCTTTAGGTCATACGTTTAAAGAATACGGTATGTACATGCAATAGTATGTTACATGGAACGAGTTTGGCAGGATCCAAGCGATGCGGTCGCACCAAGGCCGTGTTTTTGAGGGCGTGTCGAACGTGGCGGTTGAAATTAAAACACACACTGGTTATATTGACGATAACGATTAAAAGGTAATCGAACTCGGAACTCCACTGGCACAAAGGGGCCCTCCATTAATCACGTGAGGTTTTTATAGCATTTTTAACACCCTCCTCCCCTTTGGTGATACGTGGTGGGGGCTTAAGACTACCCCCCACCCAATATCACGGGTTTTTAGCACCTACGAAGAACCTTTTTTTTTATTTTAATACAGGTTTAGATTATAATATTATTTTAATCTTAAATTAAGGACCATGATAAAAATGGAACGGCGTGTCAAGGCCAGACTACACACTGCTTTTTGGTTTAGAAATCGCGCGTTTGTCGAAAAAATAACGTGATATCTTACTACACCCTCCTTCCCCCTTGTGATATTTCGTCATTTTTGCCAAATAATAATAACAATGCTATGCCTTAGATTAAAGCAGTGAGGTTATTTATGACTGAAACACAATCGTTTGTATCGCTCCTTTCAACATTGGAAGGGTAAATCAGCCGTGAGCTTTGGGGAATACCCGCCCGTAACGTGGTCGTGACGATACACACGATTATAGAAATTTTAGAATTGCTTTTACCGGGATGCGCGTCTTGTCCGCATGTTCACGAAGGGGCAGGTCCGTCCGGGTAAGTATTACGACCTCACAGAAGGCCGGCGTGATGTGGAAGAACTTCTGCGTTTCATCTGGTGAGTGACGCTAGGTCCCACTTTATTATGAGGTGTTAACGCATCTGCAACCCTGAGGGTGTTGCAATTGTCCATGGGCGGTTATCACTTATAATTAGGTGAACCATCAGCTCGCTTGCCACGTTCTCACATAAAAAGACTAAGAGCCTGGCAAACTTACATCCCGAGGCTAGGCAGACCTCGGCTTGAATCATCAGACTCAAATACACGGTCTAGATATCAAAATGGAAACATAAAAATTATCTATATACAAAAAGTCTGTCCCGTGACCATGAACGCTGTAAAGAGTTCGAAACGTCGGGAATTAAAATTAAAAATAAACGCGATAAATCCGTAAAATTAGTTTCATTCATAATGTGTAATCGCGTAAATACAAGAAATTATAATATATACAAAAAGTCAGGACTATCCGTCGTTTTGTTGCTACCCGAAACTAGGACGAAACGACGAACCGGCCCGTATACATAAAATTGTAGTGTCTGTTTGTGTAATATTAAACTTACATTTTATACTAATTGAACTTTTTACTAAATGCATACGAATGTATACACGGTACATATACAGAAATAACATTTTTTAAAATTTTTCTCTGTCTGGTTGTTTGTTCCGGCTAGTATCTAAAACGGCTGGACGGATTTTGAGGGGAATTTCACAGGCAGATAGCTAATGTAATGACGATTAACTTGGCTACTTGTATTTTAGAAATTTTATTTATTTTAAATTCCACGCGGACGAAGTCGCGGGCACAGCTAGTCTATAATATAAGCAGAGCACAATGTATCTGTTTATACTCCTACCGACACAAACTTCATCTTGACCTTGAGTGTGTCCATTATGAATTGTCCGTAATGCAAATGCGCATACCTAGTGGCTACGGACAATGAATACTTACATACACTGATATAAATACACTAGTTACTTATGAGTTTACGCATTGGGTCCGTTTTCTAGAATTACGCAGAAAGATCGGAATACAAACTGTCGTTTCTGTGGTCTGTTGGTGAGCTTTATTATGAATACGTACCCCATATTGTTATGTATATATACCCATATTATATAACCCATACTACATAAATATATATATACCCAGTGGTATATATATATTTATGTAGTATGGGTTATGGTGGTGGTAGAGTTTTTTGACTATCAATAAGTAAGTGAATGCTTCTATATTGAATAAAGATATTTGAATTTGAAAAAAAAAACTCGTTTCGTATAAGTACCTACACTTATTGACTTCGTATTCTAGAATTACTAAAAAATTGTGGATACTAATAATTAATATCCGTAATCTGTTAGTGAGTTTTATATGATGAGGGGAATAGTGAGCTTTGTGGGTTAATAACCTGTTTTGTTATTAGAATTTAGACGTTTTGTATAGTTTTTATTTTATGAGAGAAGGTGGCAAATGAGCTGGGGGGGTCACCTAATGTACGTGATAGCCGCCGCCCATGGTCGTTCGCAACACCCGTAGGGTGGCAGACGCTTTGCCACCTTTTAATAAAGTGCGCCCCGGCTACCTCACTCGCCAGACGTAACGCAGTAAAACACTTCCACTTCACGCCGGTCTTTCCTCGAGGTCGTGGTACTTACCCGGACGGACCTGCCCATTTGTGCAACGGTGAAGAATTTTGCGTAGCTCTATCGGTTTTTAACAAGAGTCTGTTAGTCCCTGAATACAATCAATAACGATAATTTAAGACAAAGTATGTCACACATTTTTTCAGTAAATTATACATTCATTTAATCAACAAGTAGTTGACACATTTAAACATGATGTATGCGTATGAATTTATCATGTGGCGTAACGTTATCTAAGTCTTATTTGAAGCAGAGTTTGCACAAGAAAATTATTGTTTGGTCAGTGCTCACACGGTTTAAAAATATGTAGTCCATAAAATAATTTTAATTATGTCTTTTATTTACGCAAGAGCCGCGATATCTCAGTGTCCGGGCGCGGTTCAAATCTCAGTGCCAGCACCAATGAAATTGTCAATTTTAAGTGCTGAATAATGCTTAGCGGTGAAGGTTTACGAAACCTGCATATTATCGAAATAATAACAAAAAAATATTTCGAAGATATGTCAAGTCCGCTAATCCGCAGTGGGGCCGAGTAGTGGACTAGCCCTACTACCCTCTGTAACGAGGAGGCCTTTGCCCAGCAGTGGGACATGTATAGGCTGTTACTTTACACTTTTTCACACAGTTCCCGCAAAAATATTTCTGTTAACTGGTCGTGCTCCCCACCACGCAGTATTAACTGGTGGAATATACCTGGTTGTCCTCCCCACCAGTGACGCAGAACACCACGAACCTCCACGTGCTGAACGCCAACATCGAGGAGTTGGACGTGTCGCAGGCGGTGTTCAGGCGCCTGGCCTCGATGGCCTTCACGGACGGGAACATCGGCAAGATCGTGGGTGAGTATCTACTCCATGATGTGAGGGTGGAACATAAATTAATATCAAAAGTGGCCGTCTACAAATCAAATTGCACACTTTCTAGTTGTCATATTCATATTACGTTAGATTTAAGGTTATGTCAGTTTTGTTTTGGAATAGTATTTGTATAGTGTAATATAAACTTCTTCGATACAATGGCACGTTTGAGTCTAAAACAACATAATATCTTAATATTGCTTAAATTAACGCGATTCAAGGAAGGGGTTAATTTAGCTGTTAGACGACCTGGCTGAACATTCAACAACATAGCAGTTTGGAAAATTAATAAAAACCCGGTACGGATGACTACTTAAAATGGCATAACAGATTATATGTCGAATTATGCATGATTGACATTAAATTTAATTCATTTGGTGTTAACATTTTAAATCTCCTTTCAACACGCTTAAGCCGAGGACGTTGTTTTGGAGGAGAAAAGAAATAACGGAAGCAGTGAGTAGAGTATTCAATAACTATGTTGTTTCGTATTCAATGTTTTTGTATATTCCTTGAGTTCATTTTCATAAGCCTCGCAAGATTTTCTCCTGTAAAGAATAGTGTTCTCCAGTACTTTCAAGTGTTTGTCGCGCACGCAAGAGACATAGGCGCCACTGTAATTTTTGCACGCCAACCAAAGAGCCGGGTGTAAACGATCCCAGTTTTCCAGACTAGTCTACTTATTGTTACAAGTCTCTGTTTAAGCTGTAAACGATTGTTTTACCTTCACTGAGTTGTTAATCAATCATTCCTTTTCCGCTGGCATCAGCAAAGTCATCTGCCAGCCATTGATTGCATTGTGTCTAGCTTGTGGGTGCGCGTCACACGCTGGCCTATGTGCAGTTTTCTCTAGAAAGTTCGTCAAACTCCCGACCAGGCCAGTTCCCGAAGTACTCGCCGATCGCCTGCCTCAACATATCGAACAACAATCTGACCAGCGCCAAGCTGCAGCCCTCCATCCAGCGCCCCTTCGCGTACCTCTTCAACCTGACGATGCTCGACGCGTCCGCCAACAACCTCACAGAGTTCCCGCTCAGCCTGGTCCAGAGCAACAGGAAGATATCCGTCGACCTCTCGGGTGAGAACATCCCTTGAATGGTACTATTTGGTCATCAAGTTGGGACCAAATTAACGCCCCGTTTCTGAAACACTGGTGATCGTAAGTTTCCGATGAGAACACTCCGATCATTCGGATCAATTCAGAGAGTTTAACCATCCTTTTGGCAACTCAAATGACATTCGAAAAGCCATCTGACAGCTGATCAATTAACATCTACGATGACCGGTGTTTCAGAAACCGGGCGTAAAAAAACCATGACTTTGACTTTACGAAAACTACCTTTCTCGACCCTTATTAAAACAATGTATTTCGGTGTAGAGAGCTACGTAATGTGTACTTCGGTCACTTCCACTCCTATCCAACCGCCGCGTACTTAAGTGCATAAATCGCAATTTTACGTTTCCGAAAAATGTATTGCAATTGAAACCCGCCAGGCAACAACTACCTGCCGTGCAAGCACTTCCAGAAGGCGATGGAGACGAACAACAGCTCGCTGGTGACCTTCGTCAACTACAACCAGACCTTCTGCGCGCTGGACCTGCGCTTCAACTGGTTCAAGGACGTGCAAATAGTCCAGATAGACCATCTGCGCGTGCAGAAAGAGGTGAGCCATTTGGCGGTCTCGTGTTCTGTTCTTGTATAACTGTGTATCGTGCAACTTATTTTACGGTAGGGCCACGCAGCAGCCTCGGCTGTTGCACGAATGGGCAGGCCCGTCCGGGTAAGTACCACGACCTCACAGAAGACCAGCGTAAAGTGGAAGTATGACAAATACTTTCGCGTTTCGTCTGGTGAGTGAGGTGGCCGGAGCCCAATTTTCAAAAGGTTGTCAACGCATCTGTAACCCTCGAGTGTGGCAGATGTCCATGGGCGGCGGTATTCACTTAACATCAGGTGAACCGTCTGCTCGTTTGACAACTTTTCGCATAAAAAAAAAGAAAAGGAAACTTATTTTTTTTATGTGATAACCGCCCATGCACATTTGCAACACTCGTAGGGTGGCAGATCCTTTGCCACCTTTCTAAAAGTCGGTCCCCGGCTACCTCACTCACCAGACGAAGCGCAGAAGTGTAACACTCCTTCACGCCGGTTTTCTGTGAGGTCGTGGTACTTACCCGGACGGACCTGCCTATTCGTGCAACAGCCAAGACTGTTCCGTGGCCCTACCACTGTTAACATCACGCCCATTTGGCGCTGCCACAGGGAAACTTGTCGCACGTCGTTGTATAACTTTGCCAAGCTAAGATTAACCCCACTTATCATTGTCTCATTTCCTATTAAAAGGACCATTCTATATTACTGTGCAATGCTCGGAGCATGGCGTTCGCGCGTTTCAAATTGCAAATTTATGCCGTAAACAGTCGTGGTATAATGGGCAGATTAATAACGACGAACAAAACGACGTAGCTAATTTTTCAAGGTCCGTTTTTTATCTGCGGACACAGTTGCGCAGTAATATACAAATCGCAACACATTAAGAACATAGTATTGTTTTGACCTAGTCGTTATTATTCCGCGAACGCGTGTAAACGTTACATTGTAAGTAGACAGGGCCAGATTTAGAGGTCTGGAGGCCTTGGGGCAACAAGAAGTGAAGGCCCCTTGCCCCCCCAAACTATTTTCTATTGATCTCTGTTAATATTTTAATTTAATCATGTTTGTACATGTGTAGGTAAAAGTAAAATGCGAAAAAAAAAATATGCAAGGCAAAGTTGTTTACCATTGTTTACTAGTCTGAGTTTGAAACTTTTTTTCCGAAGTCGTTCCCTCGTTTGTGGAGGCCCCGGGGCTGTTGCACCGGTTGCCCTCTCTTAAATCCGGCCCTGTTTGTAGAAAAAACGTTGACGAAAAATCTTGCGCCTCTGCGGGAATCGAAGTATTCCGGATTCGAGCCCAGATTTTTTTTTACAATTTTTTGTATTTCCTATCACAACCTTGTATTGTCCAGTAAACATTTTCAATAATGAAATTAAACTAAACAATGCTGATATATCGATAAGGAACATGCGGTTTCTGAAACACTGATAATTGTAGAAATTAACTAATCAGATGTCAAATGTCATTTCAGTTGCCAAAAGGATGGTTAAACTCCTTGAATTGATCATTCTAATCCATTGAAAGAGTTTAACCTAACGAGCGCCGCTGTAATTTTTGCACGTAAATCAAGGAGCTGAAAGTGAATGATACCAGTTTAGCAGACTCTAGTCTACTATTGTTATAAAAAGTCTGCTCATGCTGTAGACGTTTATTTGTATCTTCACTTTATTTGTCGATTGTCTATTTGCATCTTCACTGAGTTCACGAAAGAGTTGATGATAAGCGATTCGTTGTCCGCTCACGGGCGTTAAAACAACAAGGGTAGTAGGTGCGTTGCCAGCTGTATATTGGGTCTGTGTTGACATCACTCTGGACGAAAGGCAATGATTTCTAGAAAAACATCGTCCCACACACATCATCCCACACTTGAATAAACTCACGCCGGCTATAGCTGAACGCGAGCTGCCGCAACATAAAGCCGGCCAGCATCAACTGCACGTGCGTGCCCGAGCGGCTGGAGCTGCTGGGCGACGAGGTGACCAACCTGGTGGCGGTCGACTGCTCGCTGCGCAACCTCACCCAGCTGCCAGCCGACCTGCCGCCCAACACGGTCAAGCTGAACGTCTCCTACAACAATGTGAGTGTCCACTGCTGGGGTCACCCTGCACACTACCACAGGAGCCAGCCAGGGTAAGAGCGGGTGGAGGGTGCTGTATGGAAACGGGGTCGTCGTGAGTTTCCAGTGGTGGGGCCACCCCACCAGCACGGGAGCTAACATCCTCTGGGCAGCACCAGGGTAGGAGAGCGTGGAGGGTGGTCCGTGGAAAGCGGGTCTTGCATTAATCCACGTGATGTTTTTTAGAATTTCCAAACCGGGAGGTTGTCACCGAGATCACTTGGTGAGATCTTAGAACTAGGATTGTCAATGGATACCGAAATCGGCATGTTAGCCGATAACAATAAAGTATTTTGCTAATTGTGTGATTTTTCTATGCTTTGTCTTTGATAAATAACTCCATGCCTTCGCTATTTATTTGTAGAGTTTGTTTTGTTGCGCATTTGCGATTTGTTTCTGATAGCGCAACAGCAATGGCCCTAACGGAAAACATTTCACCGATTATAAAATCGAACCAATCGAAACAGTTTTAGCGCGCTTTTTTATTTCTCTAAATTTATCTTCTTGGACCATCCAGACAGTAACAACATGAATCGAATGTGTAATTAAAATTTCACAGATTATAAAATCGCAACGTTATGGATTCGATCACATCGTTAGGGGCACATTTTTCTTAAATAATTATTTCTCGACCTTCCAGACAGAGTCGATATTCCACAGATTATTTGTCAAGATACAGACTTGGCGCGTTTCCTCCACTTTGCGTATATCCATTACTCGTGGAACGTTAGTCCACAGACTATATTATTGAAAGATTCTAGAATTTCGGCGCCCTTCTGCTCTGCAAATATCAATTGCTCCTGGACATATTGTGAAAAGATAACACAGAATTTTGGCGCGCTTTTCACTTCGCGCTTATCCATTACTCGTGGAACGTTATTCCACAGACTATATTGTCGAAAGATTCTAGAATTTCGGCGCCCTTCTACTCTGCAAATATCAATTGCTCCTGGACATATTGTGAAAAGATAACACAGAATTCTGGCGCGCTTTTCACTTCGCGCTTATCCATTACTCGTGGAACGTTATGCCACAGACTATATTATTGAAAGATTCTAGAATTTCGGCGCCCTTCTGCTCTGCAAATATCAATTGCTCCTGGACATATTGTGAAAAGATAACACAGAATTCTGGCGCGCTTTTCACTTCGCGCTTATCCATTACTCGTGGAACGTTAGTCCACAGACTATATTATTGAAAGATTCTAGAATTTCGGCGCCCTTCTGCTCTGCAAATATCAATTGCTCCTGGACATATTGTGAAAAGATAACACAGAATTTTGGCGCGCTTTTCACTTCGCGCTTATCCATTACTCGTGGAACGTTAGTCCACAGACTATATTATTGAAAGATTCTAGAATTTCGGCGCCCTTCTGCTCTGCAAATATCAATTGCTCCTGGACATATTGTGAAAAGATAACACAGAATTTTGGCGCGCTTTTCACTTCGCGCTTATCCATTACTCGTGGAACGTTATTCCACAGACTATATTGTCGAAAGATTCTAGAATTTCGGCGCCCTTCTACTCTGCAAATATCAATTGCTCCTGGACATATTGTGAAAAGATTCACAGAATTTGGCGCGCTTTTCACTTCGCCGCTTATCCATTACTCGTGGAACGTTAGTCCACAGACTATATTATTATCAATTCGGCTGCTCTGCAAATATCAATTGCGCCTGGACATATTGTGAAAAGATAACACAGAATTTTGGCGCGCTTTTCACTTCGCGCTTATCCATTACTCGTGGAACGTTATTCCACAGACTATATTGTGATCAAGATTCTAGAATTTCGGCGCCCTTCTCGGCGCCCTTCTACTCTGCAAATATCAATTGCTCCTGGACATATTGTGAAAAGATAACACAGAATTCTGGCGCGCTTTTCACTTCGCGCTTATCCATTACTCGTGGAACGTTATGCCACAGACTATATTATTGAAAGATTCTAGAATTTCGGCGCCCTTCTGCTCTGCAAATATCAATTGCTCCTGGACATATTGTGAAAAAGATAACACAGAATTCTGGCGCGCTTTTCACTTCGCGCTTATCCATTACTCGTGGAACGTTAGTCCACAGACTATATTATTGAAAGATTCTAGAATTTCGGCGCCCTTCTGCTCTGCAAATATCAATTGCTCCTGGACATATTGTGAAAAGATAACACAGAATTTTGGCGCGCTTTTCACTTCGCGCTTATCCATTACTCGTGGAACGTTAGTCCACAGACTATATTATTGAAAGATTCTAGAATTTCGGCGCCCTTCTGCTCTGCAAATATCAATTGCTCCTGGACATATTGTGAAAAGATAACACAGAATTCTGGCGCGCTTTTCATTTCGCGCTTATCCATTACTCGTGGAACGTTATTCCACAGACTATATTGTCAACAGAGTATAGAATTTCGGCGCACTTCTTCTACTCTGCATATACTCGTATCCATTGCTCCTAGACATATATTTAAAAGGCTCAAACCCCCCCCCCCCCCCTTCCCCTGGGAGGTTGCAGATCACGTCGCTGGGCGCGGTGAGCGACGACCCGTCGTACGAGCACCTGCGCCAGCTGATCGTGGACCACAACGACATCGACAACATCGTGGAGCTGGAGGGCACCAAGTTCATAGACAACTTCATGTACTTCTCCATCGGCCACAACAAGCTCAGGACGGTGCGTGGGCCTTCGCTCTGATGTGATGCCTGCCGCTATGTTATAGTGTGAAACGTCTCATACGCAAGTGTATCATATATAAAGAAAAAAATGTTGATTTTCTAATTCATGTCTCACTGCTGCGCAAAAGGCCTCTCCTGCACAGAGGGTATCAGGGCACGCGACCCCACTGCGAATTGGTGGACTTCACATGAAGTAAAGCAGAGTATCAGCCTATAAATGTCCCACTGCTGGGCAAAGGCCTCCTCTATACAGAGGGTATCAAGGGCATAGTCCACCACGCGGCCCCACTGCGGATTGGCGGACTTCACATATCTTCGAAATACATTTTTTTTTGTTATTATTTCGGAAATATGCAGGTTTCCTCGCGATGTTTTCATTCACCGCAGAGTGTTTTATACTACGTAGTGATGTCAAAGATTTGTGTTTAGCTGTCTCCTATACAGTATCCATTTTTTTATTAAATTCTAGACATAAATAATGTTATATAAAAAAATGATAAATATTTAAAATCACTCGTAATTAATTAATTACATTCATTTGAACTTATCTCAAAAAGTGCGTGATTTATACGCAACTCATTTATTTTACGCGCGGTCATTCATAACTAACACGCGCACAAGTTCGTATCAAAAGTATACGATTTGTAAATGACTACCGCATAGTCAACAAGTTCCGTTTTTTAGGGAATAGAATGGCAATTTTTTCGAAAAAAAAAAAAGTTTGTTTTTATTTAAATAAACGATTATACTACCGAGTCTGAACACCCTTTGCGAATTTGGGCACCTTTAGAAAAGCCACCCTGTATATTTGATAGATCCACACGTACGTCCTCTCCAACAAATTCGACACGATGGGCATTTACACGACGTTCTCAATCGGCGGCAACTACATCCACTGCGACTGCAACACGGAGAAAGTTCTTAAGGTAATTGCGAATGATAAGCGTATAAATAATAATAAACTCGTCACTGTATACGAATTTGCATTTCCCCTTGGAGGCTGTTTATTGTACGACAGGCTTGTCGCCGTTGTGTTTACTAATACTATTTAGGTCGAGTCTTATGCAGACCATTTCCTAATATGTGCACGATGCGAGAACGGCTCTGGCTACTGGTGAACTACCGGCGCCCAGGTCGTGGGCTCGATTCCCGCACGTGCCGAGTATTTGTGACCCACAGATATATAGAATATAGAAAAACCTAACCAGTTAAAGTGAAAGATGCGCGGCGGCGCTATTAAATGTACGCACGTGGAATTGTTTCACGTGAAAAGTTGTAAAGCGAGCAGGCGGTTCACCTGATGTTAAGCGATTATCCGCCCACGAATATCTACCCGGTGGCTTGCACCTTTAAATACAGCCCCGGTTTTATCACTCACTAAATTAAACGCGAATATATTACTACTTTACTACTACTTTAAGCTGGTATTTTGTGATAGGAGCGTTGGACGAGATTGTAGAGCCATTTGAATCTTTCACTTAGACCGGGGAGCTGGTTTGACAGACTTATCTATGATATGGGCAAGGGGTGATGCGGTGCAGCAGGTGATAAAGGGGGGGGGGGGGGGGGGGGGGGGGGGGGGCTCGACAGATCGGTGGGTGGGAAAAGGTCAGGACGGGGATGATTACGGTGGCAGGCACGCGCTACAGTCTTCTTGACGTTCACGAATGGGCAGGTCCGTCCGGGGAAGTACCACGGCCTCACAAAAAACCCGCGTGAAGTGGATGTGTTACTTCTGCGTTTCGTCTGATGAGTGAGATAGGCGGGGTCCACTTAAAAGGCTGCACCGCATCTGCAACTGCTGGTGTCGCGACCACGGGCGGCGGTTATCTATATTCACTGTGGTGGGGGCCACGCGACAGTCTTCTCTGTTGCACTGTACCACGTAGTACCACGACCTCACAAAACACCAGCGTAAAGTGGAAGCGTTGCATGCATCTGCAACTGGCGGTGTTGCAACGCGTCGCCAACGTCCCCAGCCGTGGCTGCTGGAGAACTTCCGCAACATCCCGGACTACCGCGCGCTGCAGTGCGAGGGCGGCGGCGCCGTGGCCGAGCTGGCGGAGGGCGACGTGTGTCACTCGCCGCGCGACTGGACCGACTACATCTACTACATCATCGGGCTGGAGGTGCTGGTGCTGGTGCTGCTGGTGGCCAAGGTGCTCTACGACTACTGGGTGTTCAAGAGCGCCGGCTACCTGCCCTGGCCCGCCAACAAGATGCCGCGCCTGCCCTGCGACTGGCTCTGCGAGTGAACGCCCCCCGCGCAGGTACGCGATGTTCCGTGACCGTTCACGTCTTCGACCAGGACTATTTTCAGCAGACTCCAGATATGTGATGCCCTATAGCCTGACCGGCACGCTTCTATCCTGGTAAAAGATCCCCCGTAACGATTTACGTCTCGTTAAGCAGCACGGTGATGATGCATTTCCATATTCAACCGACCTCGGAAAAGGACGAGGCTCCCAATTTCTTTTTAAAAGCATCGCTCCTACTTTAGGATAACATTATCCTTTGTTGTATGAACGTTTTACAGACGTAAATTTCACACGGACAAACACCCAGATGCGGAACATCTATCTTTGGGTCACACAAATAGTTGTCCCGTGTGGGAATCGAACCCGCGACCTCCGACGCCGAAACCAACACCTCGGCCACTGCACCACGGAGTCATCAATTTCGAGTGTATTTTTTTTATGTTTCTTACCTCAGAACTTTCGAATTAACCGGTTTTGGTGATTATCTTTTTATTTGGAAGCTCGCGCGTCCCATGTGGTCCCGTATTAATTTCATCGATATTGAATCTTGGGCTCCGGAAATAATTGGGGAACTCCCAAAAATCAATTATAAAATGAATACAGAGCGAGATATTGGAAGTAGGTTTTGTTTTTCATTAGTAAGAACGTTGTTTATTATAACGTTACCTTTACTCTAGGATAACATTCATGTGGAAACACCCACATGCGAAAAAACTTTGTGGGTCACAGAAATAGTTGTCCCGTGTAGGAATCGAACCCACGACCCCGACGTCGAAGAAGCAAATATCTTGGCAACTGCGCTGCGAAGTCATCAACTCACTATGAGAATGACCTTTAAAAACCGGTCAAGTGCGAGTCGAACTCGCGGATCTATGAAAACGGCAAAAAAATACTCTTGTCTTGTTGTATAAGAGCTCCACTGGAATATTGTTTTATTATTTCTTGTTATAGCGGCATCAGAAATACATCATCAGTCAAATTTCAACTGCCTAACGGTGAACGACGGAAACACAGACAGATAGCCGAGTCTTAGTAATAGGGTCCCGTTTTAACCTTTGGGTACAGAACTCTAAGAAGAGCTTCTTCTTCTATCTCAATCTGAATAGAAACTGATTTCCAAACCGATGGTAACGTACGAACTTATTTATCAATTTGTTTTATGTAAAATTTGACGTCTATTTGAATAGAGATTTAGAATTTTTGAATTTACTGACCCACTTCCATCCAGGTAAGCGATACCCTATAACGGCTGATGTTTCGTCGACCAGCAACACAGCTATGCTCTGCGAGTGACCACTAATCCAGCAAGCTGACGGCAGACGTCTAGTCCAAAGCAACATGGCAACGGCACCACTACTATATTGAAAGTGGTCACATAAACAGGGAGGCTTTTCTAAGTGTATCCATGTTTTTTTATTAAATTCCTAGACAAATAATGTTATATAAAAAATGATAAATATTTCAAATCACTCGTAATTAATTGATTACATTCATTTGAACTTATCTCGAAAAGTGCTTGATTTATACGCAACTCATTTATTTTACGCGCGATCATTCATAACTAACACGCACACAAGTTCGTTTCAAAAGAAGACGAAGCATTTATTAATGACTACCGCATTGTCAACAAGTTCTGTTTTTTAGGAAATAGAATTGCAGAATTTATTAATGTTTTTATCTCAATAAACTATTATATTACCGAGTCTGAACGTCCTGTGTGAATTTGGGCACCTTTAGAAAAGCCATCCTGTATACCGCAAATAGAAAAATGACATCCGAGTAAAGCCCTGAAAAATCTCTTATGTAGGTTATGTCAAATGGATAAAATACTTATATGACATTTTTTTCCAAAAATGAGTTATTGGTTTTACATATTGTGTTTTCTGTACTGATACCGAATATGTAACTCATTTTTGGAAAAAAAATCATATACTTACGTCTTTTTTCGTTATGACGGCAGAATGTGTGATTTACCTAAACGCATTCGAAACAAATGAATATATGCCAAACAATTTACCGCCAAAATCGAGACAAATCCTTTTCATTTATATATGCACTGGAAATAATCAACTTTAATACTTTAAAGACGAATAGCATTAGTTCTTGGGTTAAGAGTTAACTGCAGCTTATATTATAGTCCGTGGTAAAAAATGGACCAATACGAAAAATCGTGTGTGTGTGATTATTTTTATTTTTTATTCCTTAATGTCACAATGCACACGACTTTTTATATACTTTTTATGTACGTCTTATGAATTGTATAAACTTTGTTTCCTATATATATATATATATATATGTGGGACTAAAATGGTGTATCAAATATCATTCACATATTGCTAGATAAATATAATACTTTACTTAATTAATATTCTTATGCCAAATAGCCTGAAGATGGCTCGATCTTCATTCTGATAATTTATAAGTTTCTGATAAGTTATTAAGTTCTTATTACGCAATCGTTTTTGTATATAGAACTAATTATTTACATTATTTTTGATATGTTTATTGTTGAAAATATTGCAAAAGAAAAATGAAAGAATCAGTTGTACCTTTGTAATCTTTTAATGTGTGGTGATTATTTATTTTTTAAGGAATCTCTTTAATTCGGACTCGAGTGAAGTTTACATATTTTTATAGTTTTTTTTAATGATATATAAGATTTATATAATAAAACATAATGTTGACTTTTCAAAGTACACACTCATAATTATCATGCAACCGCTATATTTAAGTGCCAATGATTTTTTGTATATTAACTTAGACAACACAACTTTTAGCCACTAAGGGGGATAACTAGATAAGAAAAAATAAGAGGCTTAAATTTATTAAATAAAAATTGTACTGACCAATCTAAGACTATGTGAAAATGTTCTCTGAGCAAACTCTTATGGGAAATTACAAAAAAAGTCATATCTTGGTGCCATAAGCTTGCATCTCCTTAATATTTGGCTTGAGTTTCCAGATTTGTCCGTTTGGTCGAGAGTGTATAACTGTTTTTGTATATAATCGCTATTAAGACTGTATATTTTGTATGCGTAGTTTTGATTTTGAATGAGTAAAGAATTTATTAATTTAATGCTGTTTGTTTTCCACACCTTGTTGAGCAATACAACTTTTTAACTGCTGAAATTTATCTACTGTTGGATTTAGTACGTCCATAGTTTTATTCTGATAGGCGATAAATATTTCGCTATATGCCGAAAACCAAATTCTAAGAAGATTGCATGTAAATGTTTGAAAAAACCTTGTACATCACTATTCTGGCTTACGATTTTGTAGTCATTTTGACTAGAGAAACGATATTCTAGCTACAAGGACGGATGTCGAAAAAATATCTATATTTTGATTTTATATATCGATACTTTATTATATTGAGTCGATATAATATTTGGATCCGATACAAAATATTCAATATCGAAATCGTATCAAAAACAATATTTTTATAAATTTCGAGTCCGGTATGGATATATTTATTCACTTTCGACATCCCAAGCTACTAGGACTTAATAGGAGAGACGTTTTATAAAGAAAAGCAAAATAGTATCAAAATTTTAATTACTATCAACTAGACGCAGCCGATTTAACGAACACTTTCTTTTTTCTCTTCTTATTTATCTTCTTCTCCTTTTTACTCTCCTTCTCTTTACTCTTCTTAATGTTGTTCTTCTTAGTATGCTTACTATCGTTACCATTCTTACGTTTCACGAATTTGTTGTTACTCTGTTCTTGATTACTCTTAACTGGCTTTGCTACTTTCCTCTGCTTCACACTTCTTGCATCGGCTACATTGTTAGTGTCCTTCGTCTTCTTGTCGCCAGTGTTCTTGCCGCTCTCTAACTTTCTCCTGTGGACAAGCGAGGCTTATTGTAAAAACGGCAACTTTCTTCCGGATTTTTTAATATTACATACTGAAAAGGACTTCAATTCCATATCGCCATCGCTTATAACTGTGGTATGGCCATGTCTTAATTGAGGCACCAATTATCATACCTCATAGATGAAAGAACAAATTATTCGTATTTGTATACAACAAACGCATAAAAATTAGGAAAATATGTAGGTAAGTTATTTTTATCTCTGGAAAATCCAGATGGCGCGGCGATCGAGTGATGCAAAAACAAAACCTATTTTTTAATCCTATATAAAATAATAAATGTTTCGGGACATATTTTTATACAAATTGTCTAGTCCTAAACTAATTAAAGTTTGTACTATAGATACTAGTTAACTGATAAAACATACAAAAAAAAACAAACGTGCTTTTATTTGTAAATAATAAATATTATAGATATATAAACATCCAGACCCCACAAAAACACTATGTTCGTCACACAATATTATTCCAGTAGTGGAGGGATTATTCCGCAGTGGGGCTGCATGGTGGACTATGCACTGATACCCTCTACAAAGGAGGAGGACTTTGCTCAGCCGTGGGATATGTATAGGTTGTTACTTTTGTGTGGAGGGATCAAACCAACACCCTCTGGCGCAAGAGGCAGGGTCAAAATCCACTACGCCAATTGGTTCGTCAATTTTATTTGCTCGACATCCCTAGTTTACCTCTAATTTTTTTATGTGAATACCGCCGCCCATGGACACCCGCTACACCCGAGGGTTGCAGATGCGTTGACAACCTATTGGCAGTTGGGCTCCGGCTACCTCACTAACCAGACGAAACGGGAAAGTATTATACTTCCACTTCACGCCGGTGTTCTGTGAGGTCGCGGTACTTACCCGGACGAGCCTGCCCGTGCGTGGCCCAACCACAGTGTTAAAAACAGGATAAACATCACTTGTCGGGGCGCCTGGGCAGCGTGGTGGCGATGGGGTCCCTGCGGGGCGCAGCGCTGGCCCTGCGCCGGCGCTCCGCCCTCGCGCGCCGCAGCCGCAGCATGTAGGCGGGCACGGCGCAGCCCGACTGCTGCAGCACCGACGCGATGCTGCGCAGAGTTCAAGGTTCAAAGTTCGTGCTCTGGATAAACGCTGGGGTCGTACTCGAGGGCGTGCCGCTAGGGCCGCTAATGTTAACAGTTAACGGGCTCGAACGGACATGCAGTTTATTTTTCAATTTCAAAGGTAAAGTCAAAATTTGTTTATTAAATATAGGCTTATTTTGAGCTCTTATTGAACGGTACAGTTAAAAAACTACCACCGGTAGACCTCTGTCCAGAGAAGAACCGACAAAAAACTGCGGTCTTGTTATCTATTTTTTTTATATAGATATAGTATACAAAAATATTTAAGTTCGAAATCGGCAGTAGCCAGGGGACTTGGAAATGCTGAGCAAGATTAATTTCCACACAGGCCCTTTCCATTAGGGTCAATTTTCATTGATCATCGTTCATGGTTTCTGCGGGCGATTTAAGAGAAACGGTATGCTTAAATAAATACTTCACGCCGTGATACCTCAGTGTGCGGTTGCTCTCTTTTAGTTCAATATACTGGAAGAACCTAATTAAATCCCCGGTGCCGGCATTAATTTATAGTGCTGACTTATCACGTGTTGAAACTTGCATATTTTCGCAATAATAAAAAAAATCTAATATGTGTGAATATGTTTGCCAATCCACAAAGGGTTCCCACTGTACAGAGGTCTTTGGCCAGCAGTGGGACACATATAAGCAGTTCACGGCAGTATATTGTCCGCGTACTGGTTTTCGTGACATTTTTTTTTTCACAAAACCAGCACAGAGCTTTCCTTGCCTCCTCAAATTGGCGACGTCCTCTTGAGTGAAGAAGGTGACCGCTCGTCCCGGCTGACCCGCACGCCCCGCCCTGCCCACCCTGTAATCGTAAATAAATCGTTTCGGTATCGGTGTAATAATACAGTTTTTCGTTATCCGAGATAAATAAGGATGACCCGGTTCAGAAGATGACCACCAATTTGGTTGCTCCCAATGGCTCGTAGGATCGCACTTCGTGGCAGCCTGTGGGGGGAGGTCTATGTTCAGCAGTGGACTCAAACAAGCTATGAAGAATTGATGATGATGATGATTAACGGCCACCGCCTCAATACGAAGCTAAGGCTATCGAACATAAATTTGCGACAGTAAGATTGTGTATACATTTTTAGCTTCCGCATCTTTGTGTCCACAAAATCAAAAACTAGCTGACGTATTGATATTTATTCACAACATAGAACAGAAGAGTGTTTTCATATATTTTATTCCAAAGCTTCATCGGAAACGAAAAAAGATGCCACAGTGAATTGTTGCCGGGTTCAGCTAGTCGCCAATAAGAGAAGAATGATATCCTATTCGAGTTATGGTTTGAGCACTTTTTAATGTTCTAAACTCCTGTCTCGATTTCCCCTCGATAGTCTAGTTGAGTCACCTCACCTGTGCACGTAAGAGATGGCGGAGGGCGGGAAGTCGTAGTTGACGACGAGGTTGACGCCGCGGAAGTCCATTCCTCGTCCCATCAGCTCCGTGCAGATCAGCACCCAGATGCGGCCCACGCGGAAGCTGCGCACCACGTTGTCACGCTGGAAACGACAACCGCTCATGTACCAAAGAAAACAGCAATAATGGCCATTTCTGCTTTAATATATATATATATATATATATATATATATAACATATAACATATTGAGTGCGAGAATACTTGTGGTGGCAATCGAAAACCTTGCGGAACCCTGAAGTTTAATACACTTTTTAAAAGAATGACTTAATGTAGGTGTACAGTTTTAACGGGTACCTCACATATACATAAGTATACATTATCCTATGGGGATTCAGTCTTTGCTGGCTCTATATAGTTATGTAAAGACTTGACAATTCCACTCACCTGCGCTTGGCTCCTGTCCGAATGTATGACGTCCACGTTGATGCCGTCGTAGATGAGCTCTTTGAACAGCTGTCTGGCGCGCTCTTTGCTCTGAACGAACACTGTGAATCCAACACCTCAGTATATGTGTGAAATTAGATAACAAAATGATACAGAAGCGATTGCTTTACTAACAATTTCTAGCTGGGTTTTTTAATGTGAGAAGGTGGCAAACGAGATGGCGGTACACCAATGTTAAGTGATAACCGCCGTCCATTGACATTTGCAATACCCATAAGATTGCAGCTGCGTTGCCACCTTTTAATAAAGTGTGCTCCGGCTACCTCACTCACCAGGAGAAACGCAGAAGCATAACTCCACTCCACGCCGGTCTTCTGTGAAATTGTTGTACTTACCCGGATGGACCTGCCCATTCGTGCAACACAGAAGACTTGCATGGCCCTACCACAGTTGATCTTCCCTTCTTAGTGGGAAAGGGGAAGTGGATGATGATGTTCTGTAGAGGGAGGGGTACCAATGCGAAAGTTTTTCTTTGTGTAATAAATCGTGAATAAAAATAAACGCTCACCAAGAACGGGGGGCTTGAGACCTTCCTGCACCATCTGTCTGAAGGCCACCAGCTTTCCATTTTCATTGCCACAGTACAGCAACTCCTGTTTTACGAGATGGGTCGCTGCGTTCCTATTTACATGAGATTGAATGAATGAATATACTTTATCGTACACCTAAAATAAAACAAACAAAAATTAATGTAGAAGTGATGGGTACAATGGGCGGCCTTATTACTAAGAGTAATTTCTTCCAGGCAACCTTTGGATGGATTAAAAAGAAATAATTTAGGAAATAGGTGTGGGTTAACTAAATGAATGAAAAAGAAAATTATATAAATTAAAATTATCTACAAGATTGAGTGATTGGCATAACTAATAGTATAGGCTTATTATATTATAAAGAACATTTTTATAAAATAATAGGTCCCAAGATTACGAAGAGCTTGCAAAGCTCTTGTTTAAGACAAAGTTTTTCTAATAACTAATTTGAGACCGTTTTTGTACCGCAAACTTGAGAACTATCTATATAAATAAAACGAAGTTTATATTTGATGCCATGGATCAATAACCATAAGTATAATCACATTCTAACAATCTATTACTATGACCCGTTGTAATTAAATTAACAATGGCCCAAACCCTGAAGTATTGAGTTTGAGTGAATAATAAAGTGAGCAAACAAAGTTACTACAGGCTTTGTAATCAAAATTAAAAGTGGCCCAAACACTGAGGAATCAATAAAGTGGGCGAATAATACTTACTATAGCCCTTTTTCATTAAAATTAATAGTTGCCCAAACCCTGAGAAATAATAAAGTGAGCAAATAAAAGCTATTATGGCCCTTTGTTATTCAAATTATCAGTGGCTCAAACTGCTGTACCGACCTGTGGCCCACTGTAATAGCAATCAGGCCGCGCAGATTGCGACGGCACCACTTGGCCACCGCCGGGGTGTGGGTGGCGCTGAACATGGCCACCCGCCGATTGGCACCACCGCATGCGGTCATCACCTGGTCCAGCTGTTGGCGAAAATCGGCCTCCTGGTCGGCGGAGCCCTCGAACATCTTGTCCGCTTCGTCCACCACCAGCCAGCGGACCCTGCCACGATAATAGATCACCAATAAGCGATAAAATAGCCAAAAGAACTAGGTTTTGCATTAAATGTGTAATGTGTTAGGTAACTATGAAAGTCCTTCTAATTAGGACGAAAATAAATAATTTATTCCACTAATGAAACTTTACGAATTCGTTCATAAAAGGTTCTTTTAATTTGTCTTGTTTGGCAACTCACTCACTTTGGATCTGGTGCAAAGAGTGTGTTTTTTGTTAGAGATCTGAACAAAAATTTTATATTTAATTGTTTATGGCTTGAGTGTCATTACACTTTTTTTACATTTAAAATAATTCTGGGTGGGTCCCGACTCAGTTAAAAGATAACCTAAGCTAACCAAATATTGTTAAAAAATGTAATGTGTAAGATACAGATATATATATAACTGCAGAAACAAACAAACCATGTACGAGGGCAGTGAAATTTACATTCTTTGCTGATTCTTTGATGTTGCCCAAAGTGGCAAAAACCATTAAGGTCTTTAATGGTGGGATACTTTGTTTGGAAACATTGTTTTCCCGCCAGTGATCGTAATTTTAGAACTGGTGGTTAATTAGTTTTAAAAGAGCTTGAATAATCATTGAATTTGAAGGGTGCTTTTTACAATATCTCATGATGACGAAATGGTATATGTCTATTGATCAATGTATACTTATTAACGTATGTACAACATATTTCACACTAACTTAGGATTCATTTAGATAAAAAAGTGTGAGTACTCACTTGTCTAAGGAGATATTTACATTGTCTTGATTCAGCAAATAGCACAGGCGGTTCGGTGTGCTTATGACAATATCTGAAATTCAAAAATACTTTGTAAATAAATATTACTTTTCAAATAATAAATTTATCAAAGGGATATGAAAAATAAAAGGTAGTTGTTGAAATTTTCGCATCGTGAGGATATCGAGCACTTACCTTAGATGGCTAGAGCTTCCCAAAGATGGGAGGAATGGTGGTAGGGCCAAAAGATTCTCGACACATTCATACAAATAAAATTATAAACAATTCATAATTGTTAATTACCACTTTTGCGTACAGTAGCCTCGCGTTCCTTCACCTTGCTTTGTATTATTTTCCTTATGATTGAGCATCGGAGTTGTGTGGATGCGCTAAGCCGCAATGCTTCACGGTAGATCTGTTGGGCCAGTTCCCTTGTGGGGCACAATACGAGTGCCCTTGGGCCGCCTTGTGCACTACCCAACACATGAAACAGGGGCAACAAGAATGCAGCAGTTTTGCCTGATCCCGTCGGTGCACATGCTAAAATTTGACGATCCTGTAAATAAGTAATGCTATAATGGATATCATTTCAAAATGATGAATGTAAAATAATTTCAATTTTCTTTCACAAAAAATAATTATATTAGCTAAAACTGTTTCTCTCTGTGAAAGCATGCTGAGAAGTGTTTGAATTGTATCTGAAACTGGACTTAAAATTAAATGTAGATACGTAACATAGTTTTATTTTTATTACAGAAGTACTATATTCACACAAGGTAAAGAAAACAGTAAGAATTTTAATATGCATTAATGTAAGTACGAGCAAAATGTATTTTATTATTGCTTGTGTTTATACAAATTTTACACATTAAAAAAGATAGATATAAACAGGTAACAGAAAATTTATTCAATGAGGATTATGTTTTTAATTTTACTCAAAAAATTAATAATTTAGTAGTGATTTATGCGATATGAATCATAATAAATATCATCAAACCTCAAGCATGCAGGGTAACGCTTGCCGTTGCACTGGAGTGGGTTCTGTGTAGCCACACTGTGTTATAGTATCAACTAGGGCACTGTTAACATTGTACCTTGTGGTCAGATCTCGAAAACACGTTAGTGCATTTGGTACATGTCGGCCAACTGCTTTGATACCATGTTCATTGCGAAAACGGTTTTGCTAGAAAAATATAAGTATTTTTTAAAATATTTATAATTCAAAAAGTTAACACTGCACAACAAAATCTTACGTCAGTGATGTGAATATTCCCTCTCAACCAGAGAAGTACCGTAGCCTCAGAGAAGAATGAATAAGAGTATTGATACTTTTACATTTCGTTCAGGGAGTCAAGTCAAATCAAAACCAATATACAAAAATCAATACCAAATCTTTCAGAGGATGGTAATGTGCGTGTCACATCTCTGATGCTATCACTTACTGATGTATAAAAGGGTGAACTTACAATCAGATCAACCACTTCTTTAATTACCATTTTTTTTAAATCTAAAAGGCAGGGTTAATTGTCTACCTTCTTAAGAGGAAATTTATTTATGACAAATTTTATGTACCTCTTCCAATTCCAACTTCTTCTTCAAATCCTCTGGCTTATCCTTTTTCTTTTTATTTTTCTTTTTCTCACCTAATTTCATGCCCTCCACGATATCTAAATCTTCATTATTATTTTCAGACTCGCTCTCACTGTGAATAATTGCGGCTTCGTCGCTATCTTCGATTTCTTCCTTTATTTCATTAGTTTCAATATTTTTTATCTCAACTTCCTCTTTTACAGTATTTTTTGTATTAAGCGCCTAAAAGTGTTTTAATAAAATGTTTACATTTTCGGGGGTTCGTTTTTGTTTATATATAATAAATAATTATTTAGGTTATAAAAAACTCACATCATTTTTGACTCCTAATACTCGATATTTGAATTTCAAACCTTTCGTTAATTTCTTAAAAATATCATAAGCATCCATTTTACTTGTTATATATATATCTCGATACGAACAAAATACATTAAAATACTGCCATTTTTTTAGCGATTAAGTAGGTATCATCGACTCCGCGACTCGTACATGTGATCATGACATTGTTTTGATTGACATTTGACATATATTTTGACTTTTGACAATGACATAACGAAGTTTTAAAAAAAATAGTATCTGATTTTAATTTACAGCCATTGTCTTTTTTAATTATAAAACATATTATGTAATTTAATTTTTGTCATAATATAATTTAGAAATAGGAATTTCGTTACAGCAATTAGAGAGTAGGTTAAACCGATGAGGTAGTGATAGCTTAGAGTCCGGGCAGTTATTTTAACTCATTGAATTCTAGCACGCAGGGAACAAGTACAGCCTAGTTAAAAAAAGAATTTATAAAAAATAATAATGCATTTACTTTCACCTGGACATGATACAGTCATTCATCAAACGTTCTAAAATGCCAAAGAGTATTTAGTAATATGTCAAAGAGTGCATACAGAGTTAAAGGGGAAAATTAAGAGGCATGAGCTTCCTTCTATGTTGAAGGAAGCTTATGTCATCGGCAGCCCTAAGCTGAATATGTCCAAAAACTTAGCTTTAAATTAACGGCTCATATATTTTCTCCCCCATGGTGAAAATTTATGAGTGCACTGTCATAGAAAGGATTAAAAATGCGATCAATCGTTAAATTTCACGGTCTTATGCTGCTACACAGACCTTCACTTATTGTTCTTATTTTTTTTTTTTGTTTTTTTTTGTTATGTTTACATTTATTTTAAGTTTTTCTAATATTATTTTACATAATGTGTAGTTACATTATTATTTTTAAGTGTTCTATGTATCTATTGTGCTTAGACCGTGAATAAACGTTTCTTCTTTCTTTTTTTCAAATTTTAATCCTAAATCGGCAGTTTGGTGCCGGACACTTAAGCGTCCTTCGAGAGAAATGAGCACAAACTCTCATCATTGACGACTTGAAGAAGGGCAGTCTTGTAGGTTACTTCTGTGTGACGTTTAACCCGACCTATTATATCCTACACTTGCATGATCTTCGCCCACACGCATCCTACTCGCTTGTACAAGCTGCAAATAGTACAAAATAAGTTCATCCGCCGCGCAACCAAGGCGCAGTGGTATCAGCGCAACGTCGACCTGCACAGCGATTGCAGACTCCCGACAATCCCCAAATATTTTAAAGACTTGACCAAACGGTTCTTCGATAGAGCCGAACATCATCGCAACCCCCTGGTGCTAAGCGCAGCAAATTACCAACCCGACACAAACGCGAACGTCAACAAGCGTCGCCCGCGAAACGTCCTCCTCGACCCGGTCGAGGAAGGGGACTTAGATACGTCGGACCCACCGTCGAGGGTCCCGCCAGATAACACTACACCCACAGCTAGTGTAACAAAAAACACAATAATTCGCCCTCGCCTCCGAGCACGGCGAGACCAACACAATGCGTACACAAGGTGCACCCGCGTTCCAGGGCGGTTCTCACCGCCCCCAGCCACCGATTAGCTAAAAACACAGTCGACGTCCATCGGGGTCCCGGTAACTGCAACGTCGATGGCCCTTAGATGACATACCATAGTTAAACGCACGCATGAGAACATGCGCGGTCCTACCCACAGCGGAGGGCCCAAACCCGTGGGTTCTGGCTAGCCCACCGGTTCTGTGTCAGATGAAGCTTTAATAGTATCGGGACTGAAAGCAAAAACATCAGTTAATACAAGACACAAGAGACGTTTAACGCGTTAACAGAACCCTCGTAAAGAGTGCAGACGGTTTCGTTATCACGCGAGACTACTTATCGAAACGTCGATTTAAATTTCTAGTCGACGGTGGCTTATCCTTCCCTCGTCCCTGAGTGTAAGCGTTCCCTAAGAATCATTATTTTTCCGCATACACCAGCGACATACCTGGGATCCCTAAAGTCAAAGTGTCTCTATACGCCAATGCCCGATATACACATCCGAGTGCAACAAAACTCAGATCATTATCTTAGGCGACAAGTCCAGAAAGTGGCGGATCAAACACTTTCCGGCGCTGCGGAATTCAAACCTGGGTTTTCCAGGTTACAAGACAAGATGCTTTATCAACTAAGCTAAATAGCGTAAAATTCTCGACATCTATCTACTTTCTTTATTCTAAAGGTTGATGTTATCTAGTGTGCATACTGTAACATGCCATTTATTAGTAAGCAGCATCTTTAAAATCTTAAAGATTTTAAATCTGCTATAGCAAAGATTTTAGAAAAAATAACAAACTTGGTCTTTTTGCTCTACTGATCGACGTCCCTAAAGACCTACAATTCCACTTCACTATCTTGGCAGATGATACACTCCTATATCTTCTATTCAGATAAAACCTATGCCGAGTGAATATTCGGCTTCAAGGCGCCGCCCCATATAAGGACCCGCTTACCTTACTCACCAGACGAAACGCGAAAGTACATATAACACTTGCCTTTCGTGAGGTCGTGGTACTTCCCCGATCGAGCCTGCACATTCGTGTAACAGTAGAGTAGCTGTTTCTTAGCCGTACCACTGTCTTATCCCAACGTGAATTAATCAGACCTTAGAAAAGTGTCTATAAAAGATGCGCGGCCTCCTGGACGGAAGGCGTGTTATCGATTCTCACTGGATCTTTAGTTGTTGTCATTGGAAGATATTCAGAACGTTTTCGGTGTCCTAAAAACACAGCGTTCCCCTCTGCATTGAGCAAAAGTACACACCAGTGATGGCTTATGACTTAACTGCGTTACTATCCTCATTGCGTTCACTTTAGTTCTTTTCTATTAGAATTGTTTTCTAGGGCTCTTAAAAATATTGTCATACAGTTTTTTTCCTTGGCACTAACTTTACTAAGTATCTAATTTATGTCACTTGTAATATATATAGGTTATATATATAATAGGTTTTTGCCAGTATAAGCTTAAACGGTTGTAGAGCGTAGTACATAGAAAGCTTTTTAGTTCTTATATAGTGTTACAATTACTTGATTTACAAAGACCATTAAGCAATGAAGAAGAAGTCATCTTAAATGTCAAAGTTTTAAATAATAGACTTAAGTTTTCATTAAATTGCTATATTTTAGAATAAAAGAAAGTTCTTATTTCAAAACATACTAAAAGGTCCTGATTTTAGAACGTTTTACACGGAAAGCGATCGTAATTCAGACTTATAATAGGAGCTCGGCTTACCCTAGAGAGCAGTTCTGTGGTGGAACTCAAAGTCGAAAGAATAAGAAGATAATGAAAAGTATACAGTGAAAAGGTGCAGTGAAAGTGAGAAGACACAAAAAGTGCATTTGGAAGATTTGTGCCACAATAAAATGGAAGTCGCACCTGTTTATGTGTGTATATAATGTTAATGTTACAATACCGGCCTTTCACTCCGATTCTGCAACCTCTATCCCGTAACAATATTTAATAAAATAGTTTTCATTCATCAGAAAAAAATCGTAATTATTTTTTCTTTCAGTAGGCGAGAAATGTAATATATGATCCAAAACTTTCATATATATCTATTTATTATTTTAAGTATATTCATAAATAATGTCTATTTAACCTACATTTCAATAATTCTATAACAGTATCAATCAATTGATAAATCTATAATTTAACGAGAATGACTGAATTTGTAGGATAGGTTGTAAGTATATCTTCCAATGAAAAGAGTTCTAAGTTATAATATTTGTCATATTATACAGAAACTCTTAGGGACTAAAATTAATGGGTAGGGTATAAATAAAAATACATCGCATCATTGGAATCACTGCGAGTTTATTTAATTTTATACTTTTATTACATCGAACTGTTTCCGCATGAGACTTCAGAACGCAGATTTTGCATTAGAACCGAGAGGTACATACGCTTTCAACAAACCAATTGCAATCGAATATCCCCCGATGTCAGATCCGAAGATACTTATAGTACTAAGTTCATCCGACATTTGATATGTACTACGCAGCCCAAATTGATTCCTTAAATCACATATATCAACAACATCAAACAAGTAGAGACACTCTTGCCTAACAATTACTGACAACATGAAAAAAAAAACAAAACACTGTTTCGATATTGTCTATGGTAAAAACGGTGAAACGTGCAGAACGGTGCACGAAATCAGATGACGTTTCGCGCCAAAATTTACGTTTACATTCAGTCTACAATATTAGTGTAACAACTTTAGCTGTTGCTATTAATACTTCAATTGACTTGTCCAATTTTTTTAAGTTAACGGTTTTCAATGGTTCTACATGGCAAGGTAAGTTCAAGGAAGTATAACTTAGTAAGTATAACTTTTTTAAGCTCTACTCACACTGGAAAGTAAAAATCGATATGCTATGCTCTCCCAATATCAGTGATTGTTAAGCAACGTCACCCATTCGTTAATCGACATTCCAATTACAACAATAGTACTTTAAGTGTCTTGACTGAAATGGATGTTTCAACTTACAACAATTCCCACAGGGGTCCTAACTCTCTACGGGACCGCATTTAGCGGTCCCACCACACCTATACCTTATCGACCAATACACAATACTATGAAACATATTTGTACACCCCTCCCTTCATTCCGAACATCAAAAGTATAACAAAACTCATTAACTAAATGTATTTAAAACATATTTCATCCTCTTTGATCAACGATGGCAAACTATAAATTTTACATAGTAGTAACACAATATTAGTTTAGGCATATTAAACCGCCTCAAGTGTTACGCACACTCGATCTCATAGTATGTTGTTCTTTATTAAAAATACAATAAATTAATATGTGATCTTGTCTATAACGAATCGAGCGCACGTATCGCCCAAGGCGAGGGCAAATTCTTAAAATAAAAGAAAAGAAAATCGATGCTAATAAAAACGCAGATCGTGCATACATTAAATTACGAAAAAAAGACAAAAACCTAAACCTAAGTGTGTCAGCAAAAATATAGTGCAGTTAAAATTAGAATTGCCACTTAATTAACATTGA